TTTTTCTGGGAATAGAAAATTTATAAAAGCGTGTAAATTAAATTAACGAATGATATGGAATAGAAGAAAGAAATGAATATCAAGAAACTAGAGTCCAATCACATTCAGACCAAATAAGCATTCCCTCTGTTTACAAAGGGAAGGCCCACGGGATCTGATATACAGGGACTCTAGAAGTGGATAAAATCAAAAAACGGTCCGCATTAAAATTAACCACACATTTCCTCCTATTTATTCTATGCTCAGCAATAGCAGAGCCAGAACTATTGGTTAGTTGGCACTTCCTGGCAGACGGATTCAAAATCCTGGTGGGTAAATGTTTTTTTATTCTCGATTCCATATATATATATATATATATATATATATATATATATATATATATATATGCATGTATTTAAATAAGTTTTTTTGTAGTACAGAATTTAATAACAGACAGGAAAAGACAAAATTTATAAGGCATTTTTTATAAAAGAAAACGAAAAACACCGATTGCGCCCAGGACTTATCAACTTCATTTTTCTGGCAATAGAAAATTTATAAAATTTATAAAAGCTGTTAATTAAATTAACGAATGTAATGGAAGAAAAAATATATGAATTTCAAGAAACTAGAGTCCAATAATATTCAGACCCAGTAAGCATTCCCTCTGTTTACAAAGGGAAGGCCCACGGGATCTGATATACAAGAACTCTAGAACCTTGAGGTGAAATGTGAAGTGGGACCTAGATAAAATCAAAAAAATGGTGCACACTAAAATTAACCACACATTTCCACATTATTAAATGCTCAGCAATAGCAGAGCCACAACTATTGGTTAGTTGGCTCTTCCTGGCATCCGGATTTTCTTTTTACAATTGATGGTTAGACGTCTTGTTGATTTTCCAGTACTATCTTTTGTCTGTCATTAACACGTTATCTACTTATCTTATACCGTTAAGATTGTACCCACTAGTAAAAAAAAATGCTTTCGACCACAACACGTTCAAGCATCGTTTCCCGTACAATCACCGTAGTTACGGCGTGCTTAGTCAATACCTGGATGGGTGATCACTTGCGAATATCAGGTACTGTAAGCTTGAATGAGCCATTGGTGTAATGAATAGTGCCAGGGAATTGTTAATCGGAGAGCCGAGTTCCAATTCTCGTTGGGTTCGTCATCTATGCTTACGCGCTAATAACATTAGGAAAGGCATGAATCCACCCCTTCTCCAGCTAAGGGTTAATTAGTAAAACTTGTATTACTAATACATTATTGTCGCCCCCCCACTCCCGAAAAATTCTTACAATGTAAACATACGTTATGGCTTGAAATAATCTACAAAGGGTTGATAAGTCGTAGAAAACGAATCAATCAATCAATCGACTAAAAATAATAAATTCATAGGTTTCTTTAGGATCACGTATCTGGGCAGTTTGAATAAATCCAGCAGGCTTGTCTTACGTCCTTTTCTATTTTTCTATCCAGTTTATTTTCTATCCGTATGCAGGAGGCTTTGTTCCCTGTAAATATTCCTAATTATGCAATTATCTTTCCCAAAGAAAAGTTTTCCGAGTAGTTCAAATAGTTCTTCATGACACAACTTATCAAATGCTTTTACTTGGTCTATTAAACAAAACCTATATACCTTTCTTAGTCCGTATTGCTCATTCTGATGACATTCTGTTTATAAAGATTGCTTTTTTATTCAAGTTTCTTTTAAAAAGTGTTGAATAATGTCACTAAATCTCTCAGAATCGTGTCTTTTGTCACGCATCGGTTTAGTAAATACTAAATCATCAATGAATATTTTTGTATTTAATTTTTTTTCTAATATTCGCCGCTAGAAAGCGTTTAATTTAGTGCAATATCCGACATTTTGAATATAGTTCATAACCGTGACTGATTTCGTGTTTGTTAACCTATGCATTTCATACAAATCTGAAATCATGGATTCTGATCCGATTCAATAATAAGAATAATAAGCTACAACCCCAACAACCTCATCTGGCCTGTTGCCTGATGTATGAAATATCGATTTGAGATTCTTTGATCAGGGCTTGCCGATTGGATCGATAGACTGAACTTGTTTTATTGAATTGTTGTAGAACTGTTAAAAACAATGACCGGATTCTAGTTGGCTGAAAAAGGCGGGAGGACCGAAGAAAAAAAAACAAAAGTTTTTTTTTTTTATTTTTTCGATGAATTTTGGTCATTTCGTGGACTTGACTTCTGTCAAAACATTCAGAAATGTTAACGCTGGAAAATGTTAAAAAAAATATTTGCCAAAGTCAAAATATTCCTCGTCTTTGCATTGTTGTGTAATAAGCTTGTGTATTAAAACCATAGATAATTCTATGTGTATATAGGTTTGTGAAGATTCTTGTATGTCTAAGTGGGCAACTGATGGTAATGTTCATGTATCTTCACCAACCTACATACATATAGAATTATCTACGGTTTTAATATGTGTGCAGTTGGCATATTCTGGAGCCCAGTCGACAGGGAGAGTTCTAATTTATG